GTCAAGTCATAGGAGCACTCCAAATGACTTAGACCAACGAACTCGAACGGAGTTCCCTCTCTACCATAACCATGATTTTGATGCGAGAGAAAATCACTTCTATAAAGTGTTTTATGCAAAACTAAAGTAACCATGATATGAAACTATCAAATGAATTGTTTGTTGTGTAGTTAATCCAAACACATAGGGAATCTATATATATAGTAGTTGGAACATCCATACCAAGAGACACATCTTTTGAATAATCATAATTATTGGAAGTTACTCATACCAAAAGTCATGCTCTCCAAGAGTCATGATCCATATGAAAAAACACATCTTTTCATCTACATTTTCTAGAATATTCCACAATATTCTACACAATTCCAATAATTTCAAGTATTAAGTGGTTTAAGTTTGGCTTAATTTCTCATTCACCAAACAAGAAATTTCCACTTAAATCATTTCAATTGGTCACAACCAATTTCCAATACAAAATTCCAACAGGTATAGTGCCTGTTAAGAAAACGCCAAGTGTTCTATTGGACTGACTCACATGAGAATGGATGTGTAAGACTCGAAAATTATAAGTTATGCATAGCACTAGCACATTTTGTGTTGTTAAGATGAAAAATAAGTAAACTGATAGCTTAATCAGTTAAAAAAAATCAACTCAAAAGTTACAAATGTGATTAATGAACTACTTTGTCAATAAAATACTTTCAATATCTTCATTTCTTTTAGTAAAGATCTTAAAAGGCCATTAACATGGGTGCTCCCACTCTCTTCTTTCCTCTTTGAGAAGACTCGAATAGTGGTTAAGTTTTGTAGGTTCAGTTAAAACCAGAATGTGTAATTATGGGAAGGGTAATTGTTGAATTGGTATAAAGACAATTTGGAGAAAATATCTGAATTCTCATTAATTGAATTAATCGTGCTCCACATACATATCCATATATATAGTGCTTAATATCCTAACTGTACAAAAAGGAAAAATAACAGAACTAACTAATTCAACAGAATTTCAACTGGTATTCTTCTTTTCCAGCTGACCCTCTTGTTTACTGGATGAATCTTGACACTCCCCCTCAAGATGTACATAAATATTGTTTAT